CCTCTCCGTTCCGTGCTTAGCTGGGCGGGCGGGCGGGGGGTTGGCCTGGCCTTTCCTACCGGTATTTCTCGCCGAGACGGGGCGTTGGGCTTAACTGGGGCTTTGCCCCCTTTTCTTTCCTTCTCCAAGTCATGGCTGGAGGGGGGAGGTAGAAGTCTCTAGAGTTCCTTGTCTGTGCTAGCCTCCTCAGGGAGGAGCTCCTCAGGGCTCTAGGCCAAGCCCCGTCTGTATAGAGATGACCGGTGATGTTGTCAGGCTTTGCTTCTGTATCTGTTTCGTTTTTTCCTCCAATATCCATCACTGTGGTTAACTTATGTCCATAGAGACAAGTACCGCTACTTTGCCTGCCTCCTGAGAGAACGATTCGATAAGAACAAGGATGTGAAGGATATGGTGAAAGCTACAGAGCTGCTGAAGGCAGGCGAGGAGGAGTTCTGGGCAAACCAGCATCCTCAGCCCTACATCTTCCCTGACTCCCCGGGGGGCACTTCCTATGAGAGGCAGGAGTGCTACAAGGTAAGGTGGCCCGTGAGATTGTGCATTACTGTGCTTACTTTACTCTTTTTTAAGTGAATATAAAGTGAGTGCTTTAAGTGGACTTTTATAGGGCTGCAGCTTGACTCAGCATTAGCATTGCTCCGATAGTTTACTTCTGCTGAACATCTTGTTATTTGTATGGGAGAAGCTGTCCAGCTTGTCTGGTCCTTGAAAATGGCATTTGCTGGTCTGTCTGAAGACAGACAGCATCTTTTTACTGGGATCATCATCTGCTCTTCTGCCAAATGGACACTGCCCCACGATGGGGCAGGCAGGCGCAGTGAAGGGGTTGGAGCTGCCCTGTGGGAGGAAGCGAGGTGGAGGAAGCTGTGCTGCCCTTCGTGGTGCCGTCTGGTCACGGCCTTGGTTTCTCTCTGGTCTTGTCAGATGTTTTCTTGGCTATTGGGGAACTTCTCTTCACTCAGTCCTATCGTTCTTCCAGCATTTTGAATAATGAGAAAAGTTATCATTTCCCTAAATATGTTGTAGTGCCAGACATGTGTTTGTGTGTCACTGTGTGATAGGTGGCATGCCTGAAAACAGAAGTGGTATTTTTTAGACTTTAAGAGACTTCTAGAAGCTATTTTCTCCCTTAACTGTTCTGTTGAGGAGTAAAGAAACACATTTCACAGACAAACACAGGGTTTTCACTTTGTTGGCATCGACTCTTGATGCATTTCAAGAAGTTAATGCTAACCCAGAGAGTGCATGCATCCATTTTCTCCTGAATTTGGAGAAAGTGCTGATCAGACTAGGTCTGATCAAAGCTTTCCACACAGAAAGCTGTTTGAAAGGAAGAATCTGACATACATTTATCAGAGGCAGAAAAAAAGAACAGAAGAGTGAAAGGGGAAGAGGAGGGCTTAAACTTAGGCCAAGGTCACGGTCCTTAGCATTAGTAGAGAGATCAGAGAGAATCTGGACAGAAAAAGAGGCCAGTTGAGCAATAAATGGTCAGAATTGGTCTTCATACAGAAATGCAAAATGGGTTATGTTCTGGTTTCCTGCCCTGTTCAACCTGCTAAAGTTGTCCTGTAGCAGAACGGCCGTTAGGAGGATGTGGCATCTTGGTGCATCAGTGGCTGTGCACTGTGGGTGCTGCTGCTGCTGCACAATGTCACTTCTAGATCTCAGCTTGTTTGATGGTTTTAATTGTTGTTTGATTGTGGATTTTTTTCAATATTATTATTAGCAGCTCTGCTGTTTGTGTTCAGTCAAAGGTTTATTCAGTCTTGAGAAGCGCAGCAAAAAATGAAGTGTCAATGTCACTGGGTGAATGATGGTTCTGAGCAACTTCTTCATTTTCTTTTTGAAGAATTGGGGTCTCTTGTGACATTTTGTTTTGCTTTTTTAATCAATGTTCCTGTCTTTAAAATGTTTACATTCATACGCTGCTGCGGGATTTTAAATTTTGCTGCTTTTCTTGACCAGACGTGTTCGAGGTCAGGCCAGTGTCTTAAAGGCCCCTAATTTTTTCTGTAGTTGGAGACAAGTGGGAATGAGTTGTAAGGTTCTTCAAAGATAATGAATCGGCAGTTGGGAGAAAAGGCTCTCTCTAGCCTGCTGCCTTTTACCTTCATTTCCTGGGTTAGTAATTGATTTGAATACTGGCTTCGGTGATTGCATTTAGCTGTCTGTAGGTACTGTATAGAAATATATATATAACTGTATGTATAGAAATTATATCTCTGAAACTATTGCTTTTTTAACAGATTCCTGAATGGTGCTTGGATTTCTGGCACCCTTCTGAGAAGGCGATGTATCCCGATTACTTTGCCAAGCGAGAGCAGTGGAAGAAGCTGCAGCTGGAGAGCTGGGAGAAGGAGGTCAGTGCTTGCTGAGGGCAAAGTAAAGCCCCTTTAAGCACCCAAGTGTCTTGTGTGACATTTAGATGCGTTCTTGGAAAGTACCTGACTGTCTGCTGCAGTCTTATTCAGATTCTGCTTTATTTGAACTCCTGTGAGCGTGAAACACTGACTTGACTTAAAATGCCTACACGGAGATCTTGGAGTTACAACTTCCTAAAGGCTGCAGAGGGAATTTGAAGTTCAAGCTGAACCCGCAGCTGTGTTTCAGTTAGGGCAGGGCTGCTGTAGCAGCTTCACTAAAGGAAAATCCAAAATGGGGTGAGAAGAGAGTGATGACCAGAGAGTTCCTCTGCTGCTGCTGTGAAGCTCTGAACACTTCTGGTTGCACCTTTGATTGTGATTTACCACCGTGTTCATCATTTGGGAATGGAGAATAGTTTCTGGACAACCTAAACTGAGATTCAGTGGGAAAAGGTTGATGTTCTTAGCATAGCTCTTTAATTCAGTTGTAGAGAAATAGTTGGATTGTGTGTAATGTGGCACTCGCATCAGAATTAACACAGAGCAGCGGCACTTACGCTGCTTTAAGAAATATCTGTTGGAAACGTCTCAAGAGCTGCTGGTGGCTTGCAGAAATAGGGTCTGTTGCGTACTGGAATGGGAGTTGTTTGGGACTTGGAGTTACCTGGCAGCTTTCAAAGCAGCAAGAGAATGTGCTCTGTTTAATGTGGCAATGGGAGACATGAATTACTTGGCAATAATGACCTTTTAAGTAAGAAATTCTCTTGTAAATCACTCTTTACTCCTTAATTCCCTCATGATTAGGTAACATGAGCGTGCAGTGATTACTGAGTTTAAGTGAATGTTGGGAAATAGGGAACCCGTTTGTCACTGCTGGTTCTGCCTTAATGAGGTGGGGGCCAATTTCTCCTATTGCCTGGCACTGAAAACTGTTACAGAAATGGGCATTCATGTGCTAACATGATTTTTTGTCTTACCTTACAGATTAAGCAGTTGGAGGAAGAAACTCCAGCTGATGGTCCAAAAACTGAAGCTTTGCCTCCAGCTCGCAAGGAAGGGCATCTGCCACCACTGTGGTGGCAGTATGTCACCAGGCCTCGTGAAATTCCCATGTAAAAGCATAATTTTGCATGAAAATTGAAGTGGTCTATCTTCCGTAGGCAGTTGACATGTCAGTGACTGCACGCTACTCTTAAGTAATACAAAACAAAGCCAAATAAAGTAAAACAGAAAGCATTTTTCTGGCATAGTGTTCTTTTACAGCATGCACACACAGTTTGTGCAGTGTAGAAGAGATGACTGTCACCACCTGTGCTATGTACCCAAAATGTCAGAGAACACAGGCCAGCCTGGGAAGAAGGCCTAATGGGACCCTAACTCCAGAGCAAGGTTTATCAAGGTGAGCGTCCATTGCAGCTGTCACAGTGAGTCAGGAAACTCAGTATAACCCTGTATAAACAACCCTAGAAAGCTGCAGAGCACCGTGAATGGGTTACAGCAAGCTGCCTGCTGAGGAATGTGGCCTCTGTGTGCTCATTTATGGGGCGCAGCCAGTCCTAGCAGGCAGTGTGAGGTGACAAACGAGGTACAGAGGCTGGCTGCTTCCAGAGGGATTCCCAAAGCATTGATGTAAGACAGGAAATTTTTGGTGACACTTCCACTAACATCCCTGTAAGAGAAGAGAAGAGGTGGCTATGGCCACCTTGTAAAAGCTCATAGGAGACCCTGGCTCTTCTGCTGCTCTCCCATTTTTAGGGCTCGAAGAGAGGAGCTGTGGGCTACCTATCTCGACTTCCATTCCACAGGAGTGCTTCGATTGCATCATATTTAATCCTAAGGCCTAATTTTTCAGGCTAAAATATGTCTGAATTTTGGAAAAGAGAATAAAAAACCCCTCAGCCTGCTTTGCCGTGTCCCCCTGCCTGGTGCAAGCAGCCCTGGGCTCAGAGCTGGAGCCGTACCTGGGTGGGTGCTGGTGCTGCAGCCAGAGCAGCCCACACCACCGTGGGGTGCAGGCAGCCCGGGCAGTCAGCGGGTGTGCACTAAGGGGGTCTTCTGTTCAAATACAAGCTTACAAGAACCATCCCCTCTTCCTGCACCTCACCTTCCCCCAGAGCCCTGTTCTGTGCTTTGCTTGTCTGGTAACATGTCAGAAGTGATGCAAATACCACAGTACTCCTTTTTTTAATTGTGTGATTTTGCACCCTCCCTCCCAGTCAGCCAACCAACCACAATGTCTTTTTTTTTTGGCCAGAAAAAACAGTCCCTCCTGACTGTCACAACCACCTGAGCAGGTATGGCTCACATCCCTTAACATGATGGATGCTCCATATCCCAGCATTTAAAAACAACAACAACAACAACAAAAATCGCCACCCCACAACTAAAGAAACATTTTTGCCCCCAGAGCTGCAAGTGAATGGGATTCACTGCAGAAGCAGCAGTGAATGAGGGGGTGTGAACAAGAAGTACATGAGATACAGCCACAGAGAGACGGGGGAATGAAACCAGAATCCTTCTGGAAACAGGACGTGTTTCCAGCCAAACCACCTTGAGTTTTCCTTCAGTGTCTTTGTAACAAAAGGAAACCTCTGGGCAGAAATGAATCTATCGCATTCACAAGGAAATAAATTGGGCCGCTGCGTGGTAGCTGCGAGTGGGAGCAGCGTCCTCCGCCCTGCCTTCGCTCCTGACAAGGCTGAGCACAAGGAAGCCTTCACTCACTCAGGGTCACTGGGGAGATGGCACTGGTGCTGTGCCTGATAAATTCTGGCCGCAACACGGGCAATGCTGGCAGCAGCAACTCTCCTCCTCTGGCAAAAGGAACTGTGGTCCAGCCCTGAAGCAGATGCACAAACATTTGAGGAGTCTGTGCCTCCCGACTGAGGGGCAGAGAAATGCCACCAGTTCTTGTTTAATGGGAATTTCCTTAGCACTGCATCTTTGCTGCTGCCCTTCCAGTGCACACCAGTAAAACACAGCTATATGTGATCTTATTTACCTAATTTTTTAATTCTCTCTGGCTTCTGTTACACTCAGAAGGAACCAGCGTGAGCTTCACAAGTCTGATGGAGGACACCATCGATATCCAAAGCTCTGGAAGCAGAAAGTCTGTAAGAACTGAAATACAGAAGTTTTCCAGCAGTTCTTTATTTATAATGTAGGCTTAAGCAATCATTACAATGTAGAAGGGAGACACACTTACAGCAATTATTTATACCAGTTTAGAACAAAAAACTGCACAGGGAGAGGTCAACTCTCAGTACAAACTAGCAACTAAACCACAATAATTTACCATTAGAAACATTTTATTTTTTAGCTGTGACACTGCTTTTACAATATGCAAAAACACAAACAATAGAACTATCCAAAGTGTTTTGTCACATTCTTTCTACATTGAATTTGGCAACATTTTATATTAAATTTTACTGATTATACTAACGTTTAAGAACTAAACAAGTGAAAAGCTGTACTCAGGTACAGTTACATCCATTTATTTCAAAGGTTTAAATAACACTTTTAACTATCGAGATTATCTCCTAGCAGTTTTTGTTTATGCAAAAACCATCTCAAAGCCTCATTTGCACAATGCATCAGCTACTGTATCGATTGGTGGGCTACACCACAGGCACTACTGTTTATTATATTCTGTAATAAGGAGCTTGTTTTTCAAAGAAAGGAAGGTTCAGTATTTTCTAAGAATCATGCCTTTTTTTTTTGCTTTTTTGCTTTTAAGCCATAACAAAAAAGAAAAGGTCAGCAACCACAGCAGTGTAAAATGTTATATAGAACACAGTGACTACACAGTTACTAGAAGTTTCACATCCAATGCAGTTATGTGTTAAAGCATAAGCGGTTATGTAGGCAAGCCTAGAGCCAACAGAAATCTGCAGAGCGCCTGGTGGAAACCAGCCCCTGTTTGGGATTGTTTGGTGCATCTTCAGGCAGTCCTGGATGCCCAGGTCCGGTGCCTGTCCCCACGTGGGTCTGCTGCGGGCGGGCAGGTGCCGTCCTTGCAGCTGTCTGAACCGAACACACGCCGTGCCCTGGGGTCTGCATATTTCTGTCAGCTTTAGGAGACGGGTATTGCAGCAATAACTTACTTTTACTCGAAGGAAAAAATCCAACTCTTAATAATTCTATCAATAGCGTTCCAAAAAACATGACTTAAAGTACAAAAAAAGAGAATATCGTGGTCAGACTCCCAGTATTATCAAAAAACCAGTATCTCTCCCCCCCCCCCACCCTTCGCCCCTTTCTTTTCAGTATTTAAGAAAAGCCAATCGACTGCCATTTAAAAGAAGTTAAGAAAAACAAGCCCCTGTATTGGAAAGAAACATTCGCAGTTGATCAGATCACAAGCTGGTTACGCCTGTCGAATTGTTAAGTGTTTTCTCAAAATATTTTGGGCTTCCCGAGGTGCCCAGCCTGCTGGGCACGGTCAGAAAAAGGCATTTTGATAATATCCAAGAACTCCCTGCTCGCATTTTAGGAACGGTTTCCCACGTGTGACTGCCCAACGCCTGGCGCCCTGGTTCTGCGCAGTGAAAGATGGGAGGAACAACGGAAAGTGGTGGCGGAAGGACCAAGCCTACGCGGAAAGGCTGCATGTGTGGGACTGAGAGTTGCTGCTGTGCAGTCGAAACAGAAACGTGATCAACCCCGGCCTTTAAACACCCCACAGAAACAAAACACTGCAATCCAGTATGGCTTATTCTGATGCATTTACCATGAAGCTACCAGTAATGAATCCTACGAGGCTACTTTGTGCAACGGCATCTGCTATTTTGATGGCATCTCCCTCCCCCCACTACCCCCCAAATACTCTACCAACTGCAGGTTTCTTCCTTGCATTACATATTGCTTTTATTGTCAATTTTTATCCACGCTTTTCAAACTTTTGTTTTTTAATACTTAAACGAGGATCTGTTCTTTACAGCTTGACTTAAAGTCCCATTGCGATGGTTTGGTTTTAACCTCACTATTACACGGCGCTCTACAAAAGCTTGCAAAAAGCCCAATTTTCATTAAATCCCTTTGCTGAAGTTAACTACTCGACATTTTTTTTTCTCCTGTGATTTAAAAGTTTACAAAGAGAGTTATAAAAAAGGTAAATGGGATTTGGCACCTTCAGAAAAAATTAAAAGTGTAACTTAGATCAAAAAAATGCAGAAACAAAATCATTGATATTTACAAATTAAAACACCAGTGAAGATTATGTCTTACTACGCTCTTTCACCTTGCTTTCTCTTTCAGAGTACTTTCAGACCGTCTGTTACCGAGTATCTTAAAAAATTCATTGATTACAGATTGGAATGGATAGAGACAAATTCGTTTCCTCACAGTTCCCTCTCGGCGGCGAGTACTCTGGCAGCTTTCCCAATCCTAGGAAATGCGAGGCGCGGAGCGATCGTTCGTGGTCGTCTTCTTCAGCTTGACCCCGCGCCGGATGGCGTTCAGCATATCCTCCCCTTGCGGGGCGTCCCCGGGACTCAGCTCTCCAGGATCGAGCTCCGGCTGCCCCGCGGGCACCAGGGCGCTTCCCCCATCCCGGTCGCTTTCCTCCCCCTCGCTCTCAGGAACTGCTTGCCTCTGCTCCTCCGCAGCCCCCGGTTTCTGGCTGGACGGCGGAGGGTTGACGGATGCTTGTCCGCTCCACGAGGACGAGGGCATGCTGACGACACCTGGCCCACCATCTCCTGCAGATGGAGACTCGGGACTCTGCTCGGGACACTCTTCTGTCCCGGCAAGGGCGCCGGGCAGCCCTCCCGGGATGTCGGGGACGGTTGGCGTTTTGACAGGAATCACTGGCGTCTTGATGGGGATCGGGCCTCCTCCTATGGTACCGCGTCTCACCGAAGGTTTGGTGGAGGGGGTCCGTCGGATGGTGGCGACGCCGGGGGTGACTATGACGGGTCCGAGCGTGGTGGGCAGACCTGCGGTGGAAGCAGGACGCTTGGTTTGAAACATTCTGCGATAGGACTGGCTAATGTCACTGTTTCTTGGGATGGTGGAAGATTTGTCAAACTCTTGTTGTTCTGCCTCCTGGTCACCACTCACAGAGAAATAATCATAATCTGAAACTGATGCCAAAAGACAGAGTTAGGAACAAGCTG